TCAGGTCTCAGACTTGGACAGCACTGAGGCAAATGGCTCTCATCTTGGCCTGCATTAGGTCATGGCCACGCCAGAGCAGGTACAGCAGGTGCTGGCTTTGATGTTCTTTGTGTAGGTGTTAGGTGTGTCTTTGGTGACTGGCCTGACAAGGTATGTGGCTACCTTCCAGAATCCCAGGCAGGTGGGCACTGGGGAAGGTACTTGGGGTGCAAGGCAGGAGGGCTGCAGGAGCTCCATGCAGGAGTGGGAGACCCTCAGATCTAGCCAGCATCTGCTCTGGATGTAGCTATGTGGTCACAGCCACAGGACCCAGCCCCTCTGCCGAGGGAGCACCTCCTCTGGGACAAACAGCTTCGGTGGTGCCTGGAGTGTGGCAGCCACAGCCTGATCCCTGAACTCCCTCCTGGGCTCTCCCCTGCCCTTCACACGAGGCCCAGTGCATTCTCCACCTGGTCCTGAAGTCAGCTAAGCATCTGGGGGTCTGGTGGGCACCTCCTGATGTCTCCCTGGAGCAGTAGAGTGGTGTCTGGAGGGAGAGGCTGCATAGCTCTTCCACTCCTCATTGGTTCTCATCCAGAAAAGCTCCCTGTGACCCTCATCAAGAGGAAGGAGCCTCTGGGATGTGGCCCCAACTGGCCCTCTGACTTGTGTGCCTACAGCTCCTGGCCTCAGACCCAGACCTGCTCCTCTAGCCTATTCCTCCTGGGTCCCTTGCACCTGGGTGCCCCCTCCTTTTTATCCTCACAGGCCCTGCTGAGCAGCACCCTCTGCTGTGACTCTCCCTGCTGCAGGTGGCCTGGGGCACTTGCCACTGTCTGCCCTGTGGGAAAGTTGGGTACATCCTGCTGTGGCTCCCACCCCGAAGGCCTCCTATCTCTGCCAGGACTGAGCTCAGGCTTTGGCCCAAGGGGCCTGTTAACTGATTGGTAGTCATATTGGTAAAGGGCTCAGGAAGCAGGGATGGCTTCCTCTCTGCCTAGGCTTCCGTGGGTGTGGCACAGGCCTTGGGAAGCCTCTAGGCGCACCTTCTCAGCAGCTGTCTGCAGGACTGGGGCTGTAGACACTCTTCAAGTAAGCCCCGGTGGGTGCACCCTCCTCCATAGCCTGGGATCTTCCTCCTGGGCTCTCATGCTACGGCTGGCTCCTGCTTTGAGGTGAGAGGGGTAACAGGGAGGAATTTTAAAAACATGTCTTAGGTATCCAAAGCCAGGGCAGAGAGAGGGGTTTTTGGACTCTGGCTAGATGAGAACGTGTGTGTTTTGTGGTGCTTTGTCACATGAGTTACCTTGTGGTTCTGGCAGCACTTGGGTCCTTAGTGAAAAGCCTAACTCAGTGGGAGTGACAGTTTCCCCCCTGAGTCCTGGCTCTCAGGGTGGTGTGACATCAGGAGCCACTGGCCCAGGACTTCATACCGAAGTATGGCTTTCACCAAAACAGCTGTATGCCTCAGACGCTGCATAGTCCCTCCAAGGTCCCTTGATTGAAGAGGTGGACACCTTGGGCAGAGCATGTGGAGTGTGGGGTGCCTGAGGCCCTGCTTGGCCTGGTAAGGGGGACCTCCAGCTGGGCTGAGTGGCACTTGTAGGTTTGGTGCCCTTGGCTGTAACTGCTCACATGGGGCTGGGTGCTGAGCCTTCCTCTAGGGGGAAAGAGTATAGTATTGGGGGGCCCAGAGTTTGAGGGGACCTTGCACTCTAGGCTCGAAAGAAGACCTAAGAGGCCTGTTGACCACAGGTATGGTTCCCATAAGTTGTGGGGGGGTATTTTCTAAGACCCGCTTAAGACCCAAGTCCCAGGGGTCAGGGCTCCTGCTCATGAGTCTAGATGGCCCATTCAGCTCCCACTTAGCCCAGGCAGAAGCTGGACCAGATGGAGGCCCCAGCTTGTGGCACCTGGGTGCATGTGAGCTGCCTCTGGCCAGGCAGAGGGAGAGACTAGGGGGTGGGGGTGGGGCCAGCTAGGGCCTTTTGCTGAAATAACAGGCCTGTGACTAGAGTCCCTTCTGAGACTCTGCAGGTGGGGGCCTTATCGGGTTGGCCAGGCTGTATGCATGATGACCACTGTTGTGTTTCCTTTTTGCTAGGGCTGAGCCACACTACCTCTTCAGCACATGCTGAGGCTAGTCCTGTCCTCGTGCCTTTTGTGCTTGAGGAAATGGAGGCCCAGAAAGGGAAGTGACCAGCCCAAGGTCATGCTGCCACTGACCTGTGAGCCAGGGTCTAAGCCAGCGTCTGTCCTTGGAGGGCCTAGGGTGTCACCGTGGGTTGTGGGGCCCCTCTCCCTTCCACTGCCTGCTACCAGGGTCTTCCTTGTGGGTGGTGGGAAGGCAGCCTGGCCTGGGCACTGCAAGATCTGCTTCTTGGGGTGCCCAGGATCTTGGGGGCTTGGCTCTAGCATGTCAAGTGGGGCACTCAGACCTTCCCTGGTTGGGGCTGACCGTCAGAGGCTTGGCATGGGCCCAGCACAGTACTGTCCGCTCTGCTCAGGCCACTCAGCGGGAAGCTTCCAGACCTAGAGTGGAAGGGGCCCCAGGGGTGTCACCATGTTGGTGTCTTGTTGGGCTTTACTGGGCATGTGCTTCAGGGCTTGGCCTGAAGTGTCTTCCCATTAGCATGTGGTCAGTAAGCGCATATTGCTCCCTCCCTGTCTCTGGAAGCCACAGCAATCCTCCTCCTGAGGCTGTGGCATGGTGACAACAGGCTTTGTTGTCTCAGTCTCAGCCCCTTGACAAGAGGAGCTGTGACCTGGGCCCTTGGTCTGTGACTCCCACAAGGTGGCAGCGGCCTGTGGCATGTGTTCCCCACTGTCCCCTAACTTATCACTTCTCTGTTTCTGCACTGACCTCTGAGGGGTGGACAGGACAGACTGCTTCTCCATCGTGCTCCTCCTCTGGGAAGGCCACTGCTCCTGACCACTCCTAAGACCAGCTGTGTGTCCAGAGCTAGAGCTGGCCAGCCCCTGCCAGATGTGCTCCTGCAAGACAGTCTAGCCAGCTCTCAACTTACACATTCTAATTTTTTATCTGACTTAGAGGGTTTTTTGTTTTGGTATGTTTCTATTGATTTTAGAGAGAGGAAGAGAGAGAGAGAAATGTCAATGATGAGAGAGAAACGTCAACATCACTCAGCTGCTTCCCACAGGCCCCCCACTGGGGATTGAACCCACAACCTGGGCATGTGCCCTGACTGGGGAATTGAACCGGTTACCTCCTGGTGTGTGGATCAATGATCAACAACTGAACCACACCAGCCAGGCAGAAATAGAGGTTTGAGTGCAGATAATCTGTGACATTTGTGTGGACATGGATTCTATGAAAGCAGCGTTTGTCCCCAGCCCTTTCCCCCACTGCTGTCCTCAGCACATAGGTCTTGTCACTCACTAGACCCCACTCTTCAGCTCAGGGTGCATGGACCCCTGAAGCAATAGAATGGCAGCTGGCATTTACCCAGAACCCCATGTGTGTTGCTGTAGCCTGGCAGCGGCTCTGTAAACCTTTGCCCCACTGCCTCCTACTCTCAAAAGGGTCCTGGACCCCAAGGGAAGCCTGTGGCCCAGTGGCTTTCTGGAGGTTTGCCACAGCTGGCGCACCTAGGCCAGCTGCTTCTAGTGCAGAGCTCAGTTGAGGTCCCCACACTCCCCACAACGTTCCCTGGGCTTTGTGAGACCACCACACTTGTCCCTACCCCTGGGCCAGGCCTGGAGGGAACTGTGTCAAGAGGACACTCAAGTCTCTTTTTTTTTAACTTTTACATATTGGTTTTAGGGTGAGAGAGAAACATTGATTTGTTGTTCCACTTATTTATGCACTCATCGGTTGATTCTTGTATGTGCCCTGACCAGGGATCAAACCTACAACCTTGTTATATCAGGACGACCCTCTAACCAATTGACCTAGCCGGCTAGGGCTCAGCTAAAATCTTTATTCTTGTACCTCTTTGTCTCCTGTGTGTCTCTCTCCTCCCTCCATACTGAGCCTCTGCAGGCCGGGCCCACAGCCTTCCATGATGGCTCTTGATGGCACCAAGTGAGTGCTCAGGAGGTGTGTGTGCAACTAGTGAGTGACCCAAGATAGGAGTTGAGCTGTCAGTCTGCCATCCACAGGCACAGGGACCCCCAGTGAGAGGAGCAGATTGCTGTTAGGCAACCTCTGGTCCTCAGATCTTCAGGTTCAAAAAAGGAGGGGGGCCTGGCTGTTACCCATGGCAGCAACATGTCCTGCCTGCCCTCCCCCTACACCGCCACCCACCCTGTTCCCACCTCCCTCTGGCATGCCCTGCCCATGTGCCCTTGTCCCAGGCCAGGTTGGCCTCCCCACCTACAATAGCTGTGTGCCACCAGGTCATGGGAAGGCACCTGCAGGTAGCCACCCTCACTGAGTGGGTGGCAGCTGCCTTCTCACCTGTGCTGGTCAAGGAGACGCAGAGGGGAGGGGCCAGGTCCCAAACCCCAGCATGAGTGGCCCTTCTGAAGGCCAGGGAGAGGGCCTTGGCACTGGGAGCAGCGTCTGCTGCCCCCTCAGCAACTCCTTGCTCAGTGCCACTGCCTTGTTCCATCAAGAGTCCAAGTTCCTGTAGGCATCCCAAAATCAGGACCTGTAGGGGACTCGGGAATGTCTCCAATCCTCGGTATGGGAAAAGGCAGGCTGCCAGCCCCGGTGGGGCCAATCACCACCATTAAGTCTGCCTCACTGAAGAGCCATAACCTATGCAAGCTGCTGAGGGCCACTCTGGAGGCGCCCAGCTGGCTGTGTCTTAGCAGGGCCCCAGGAAAGGGGTCTGTCCCTCCTGAGCAGTGTCCCTCTGTGTGCTAAGCACCAGCACACCTATGCCTCTGTTCACAGCAGCCCCTCCTATAACTCAAACCCCTCAGGATGGCCTCACCTGACCCTGGCTAGAGCTGGAGGGCAACGTGTGTGTGTGTGTGTGTGTGTATGTGTGTGTGTGTGTGTGTGTGTGTGTCCCACAGGTCTGTGAGCTTCATCTCCCTTTCCTTCTTCACAGTGTACTAACGGTCACTTGATGTGCGCTGGCTGTTTTATCCACCTACTAGCAGATGCCCGGCTGAAGGAGGAGCAGGCCACATGCCCCAACTGTCGTTGTGAGATCAGTAAGAGCCTCTGCTGCCGCAACCTGGCTGTGGAGAAAGCCGTGAGTGAGCTGCCCTCTGAGTGTGGCTTCTGCCTGCGCCAGTTTCCCCGCTCTCTCCTGGAGAGGCACCAGAAGGAGGAGTGCCAAGACAGGTAACCACCTGGGCTGGAGGCCACCTGGTGCAGGCAAGGCCCCAGTATGCAGCACCCTCTGGCTGGTCCTTACTGCCCAGGCCTCAGGTCCTGCACACATATTCCGTGGTCGACTTTGCAGGGCTGGGCCAGCATGAAGCTGCCCAGGGTCCAGACCCTGCAGTGGGTGGGGGGCTTGGAACTGCACATAGTGGCTATCTGGACATCACCCAGGTTCTCCAGGGTATCTTGACTGTGTTGGTGGCCTCTTAGAGGCTGTCCTTGGCATCCCTGGGCCCAGGAGAGAGTGGCTAGCTCAGGAGCTCTGGGATCATGGTGTGAGGCTGTATTGGCACACTTAACAGTCCCCGGCAGCTGGGGCCTGGCCATGAGCCTTACCCGGAGTGAAGCTGTGCAGGGTCCAGGACTGTGGTTGGTAGCCACTATTTCCAAGCAGGACGGAAACCCCACAGCAGTGGGTGTGGATTGCTTGTAATCACACAGTTCCTCTCTGTTTCACACACTGTGGCCTCTTCCTAGGGGGTGGCACACACTGATTGTGTCCTTCAGGGAGTGGCTTGTGTGTGATCAGGGCTGAGTGGAGGTGTGGGGGCACAGGCCTTGACCACGGTGCCCCCCCCAGGGTAACCCAGTGCAAGTACAAGCGAATTGGCTGCCCATGGCACGGCCCCTTCCACGAGCTGACTGTGCATGAGGCTGCGTGTGCCCACCCCACCAAGACGGGCAACGAGCTGATGGAGATCCTAGATGAGATGGACCAGAGCCACCGTAAGGAGATGCAGCTCTACAACAGCATCTTCAGCCTGCTGAGCTTCGAGAAAATCGGCTACACAGGTGAGGCGCCCGCCGCCCACTGCGTGCCACAGAGCCTGGGGGCCGGCAGCTGGGAGCCTGGGGAGCAACAGGCCTTGGGCAGTGGGCACAGGCCGAGCCAGGCAGCTGGGCTCTGAACAAGCTCCTGGTGAATGAGGACACCTTGGGGGAGAAGATGGACCAGAGGCTGAGCAGGGGAGGGGCCTGGGCAGGACCTCAGGGGCACCTGCATGGTTCTCACAGAGGCCCCTCCCACCCGTCTTCCCCACCCCGTCCTTGCTACCTCAACAGGGTGTCCTCGCTGTGTGGGGTCACACAGCCTTGGGACAGTCGGGTCTGAGCCGAAGGTTGGGTGTGTCTCGGGAGTTAGTAGAGCCAAGGACAAGAAGAACTCTCATCATGTTGGGTCCTGCTTATGGGTGTGAGGCTCCAGTGGCCACAGACCTGAGGCCAGAGAGAAGATGCTCAGGGCAGGGCTCCAGAACAAGCTGAGGGTACCCAGCTCAAAATGCAGAGCTGGGAGTGGATGCCCAGGGACAGGCAGGCTGGACCACATCCAGGCCCACTGGATCTCATGGGCTCTCCTGGCCACTGCCTTTGGACATGCTGGGAGCAGGAGCCAGCCAGAGCCTGGTCTAGACACAGAACAGCCAGAAGCACCTGCTGATGCTGGGGCCGCTCAGGGAGACTCCAGCCCTCTACTGCCCAGCCCATGCCGGGGGCCAGCTCAGAGCACCAAGGGCAGTCACTGACAGCCAGTCACACCATATTGCCTGGACTGGGCCTGGCTCAGTGTGGGCCTTCACAGGCCGAGAGGCCGAGGGCCCTGGGGCCTGGTTAGTTGCAGCCTCAGTCTCCCTGGTGGGCGCTGTAGCACAAACAGTCCAGGCCAGGTCTCCGTGTCTGGGCAGGCCAAGGCATCGTGACTTGGGCGGTGGCAGGGCAGGGAGCCCATCCACGCAGGAAGGACTGGCCGCCTCAGTGGAGGGACAAGCTGGCCTTGGGCACGGGCTGTGCTGAGGACTGTGACAGCAGAGCCCAGCAGTGGTCCACATGCCAGCATTCAACTCTGGCCAGATGCCACACACCGGCCTGCCTGCCGGTTTTCTGGCAGCTCTGTATGGAACCAATAAAGTGCACTGTTCTCAGAACTGCATCCTGTCTGTGTGTCTGCTTACCCATGGCCCTGGGTGGGCGGGGGGCCAGGAGGGAGGCCAGGGGGCGGGCTGGCCACCCACCTTGTAGCCTCTGGACTCCCTGCAGCTAACGCGTGTCAATTCTTTCCCCAAAGCTTGTGTGTGCCTCCATTTGCCATAATTTCCTTTGATTTGCCTTGTGACAAGTAGAGCACCTGTGTCCTCCTGGTAAGTTGCCTTCCTCCCTGGCTGAGCCTATGTCCTCGGCTGGTCGGAAGGCGCCTCCACCAGCCCAGCCCACCCTGACTGCCGGCTCTATCCGGCCTGTCTGTCTCCACAGAGGTCCAGTTCCGGCCATACCGCACAGATGACTTCATCACGCGCCTGTACTATGAGACACCGCGGTTCACGGTGCTGAACCAGACATGGGTCCTGAAGGCGCGAGTGAACGACTCAGAGCGTAACCCCAACCTGTCGTGCAAGCGCACACTGTCCTTCCAGCTGCTCCTCAAGAGCAAGGTCACAGCGCCCCTGGAGTGCTCCTTCCTGCTACTCAAGGGCCCCTACGACGATGTGAAGATCAGCCCAGTTATCTACCACTTTGTCTTCACCAACGAGAGCAACGAGACGGACTATGTGCCACTGCCCATCGTGGACTCCGTGGAGTGCAACAAGCTGCTGGCTGCCAAGAACATCAACCTACGGCTCTTCCTGTTCCAGATCCAGAAGTAGGAGCCTTCTGCGCTGCCCACACCTGCCTGGCTGCGGCTTTGCAGTGCTGTCTGACCATTTCAGCAGAGGAGGGGGAGGAACAGATGTGAACACTGGGAAATTCTGCATGCGTGTGCGAAGGTGTGAGCGCTCACCACCCTGCCCTCCACCCTGCCTCCCTGTCCAGGGCACAGAGGCTGGTCCAGGGACACCGCCAAGCAAGCACAGCGGACCTGCCAGCCTCTGTCACTTGGCGAGGCGCCCTGCCTGCCCTGGGCCACACAGGGCTCCTGGGCTGGGCTCAGGGGGCACTGGCTTCAGACAGCATATTTGATTGCAATTAAAAAGGCACCCTTGTTTCCTACTTTCTGTTTTGTTCGAGGTTAAGGCGTGGCTCTGATTGGACACAGGGAAGCTTTGGTTTGGCCTGGGGGGTTAGAGCCCACTCATCCTTCAGTGCGTCCCCTAGGAGACACTTGGAGATGCTGCCTCATCCATTGTAGGCCCCAGCAGGGGAGTGGGCAGGGCCAGGGATTTCACAGCAGCCTCAGCACACCCCTAGCCATTCCAGGGAGGCAGGACTTGGCCACCTGGGCTCAGCAGATGTTTTGGAATGCAGGGTGAAATTCTGTATCTTCCCAGAAAATAAATGAAACTACAGGATCCTCTATAAGTTATGCAAATTTAGCAAGAGAGAATCTATTTTCTATATTCAGCCTTGAGGGTGCAGCATCCCCAGACTGTGAGGAAAGCTTCGGAGGGCCACTGGTGGTGGCCATGCCTGGCTGGGAGGGTCCCATGCTCTCAGGGACCAGCTGGTGGTCCTGCGTCCAGAGCCCACTGTGGAGGTCAGCACCTAGGCAGCATAGTTTCTCACTGGAGAGAGGTGGTCCCTTCCCAGCCTCAACTTTGCTGCCCCAGGATCCTGCAGCCCAGGCCCCAGTGAGCATGTCCCGTGTGTGGTCCTCAGGGTAAAAGGAGCCCTATCTGGAGGACCCTGGTACCCTCGGAGCTACTGGAGAGCTACCCACCCCCCAAGCCCTTTCCTTAGGAGACACAGCTCTTCTATGATAGCTTTTCATTGCTTCAATACCAAAGAACAGTTTTATTTGCCCCTGGCCAAGCCCGCACCATGCCTCAGAGCACTTATATTGCTCTGGTCCTACAGGGCTCAGTGGGCAGTGCAACCACAGCCTGGCCTCTCTCTGGGCCTCCTCCCTCTCCTGGCCCTCTATTCGTTTCTCTTGCCAGGGTGGCTCCCTGAGCTACTCCAAGGAGCCTGTTTGGCTTCCTGCTGTAAGCCCAGGGCATTGGGCTCTGGGGCAGGGGGCAGTTCCCCCTCCTGCAGACAGCCTGGCCACTGAGGGGACCCAAGAGGTGCTTTGTGTTTGGTTTTCTGCCCTCTACAAAGAAGGACCCCACTGCAGCCTCACCCCACCCCCCACCCCCCTGTCAATCATCGAACTTGGGCATACCCTGGTGTGAGTCCCATTGCCCTTGGGCTGCCCCCCGCCTGGTGAACACAGGATGACATTCAGGTAGATGCATGTCAGGTGTCTTGTATGTAGGAGATTGTGCTGTGTCACTGCATCCCAGCCTCTCGGGGACCAACACCCTCTCTGTAGAGCTTCTGGGTTTCCAAGTGATGGTGTTGTGAAGGCTTCCAGGCAGGGACAGGATTGCATGGCCTGCTTGTGTCTGGATGGCTTGTGTGAAAGATTGAGTCAGCAGAGGCAGCCTCTGGTGGCTCTCCTGTGTAGGACAGGGTGGGAGATGGCAGATTTCTGTGCAGGTGAGGAAAGTATGTGGCTGCCAGAGGAGACAGGCAGTCCTGGGGCCAGCAGCCCTGCATGTGCGGCAGGAGGGTCCGCTACATGTGAGGGCTTACAGCCCACACTTCCTGCAGCCAAGGCTGGTTGTGGGAGTGGGACCACACTCAGATGGCCCTCCCTTTAGGGGGTATGGGTGGATGTGGGGGGTGCCCAAGAGGACTTATACATCCCAGCCCTGTGATGGTCACCTTACAGTTTGGGGCAGCCAGGAACCCTGGGGAATCTCAGCTGCACGGGGTTGCTATAAACCTATGGCATCTCACTCTCACTGGGCCATTGATTTACAGAGACACCAGTGGTCTGTCTCCAAGACCCCTTGCCATCTTGGCATCCTGACCTGGAGCCGGTGGAGATGTGGGGGAGGCTGGGGGCTCAGATCAAGCTAGCCCTCTCCCTCTTATCCCCACTCCCTGGGAGTACTCCATCCTCAGTTCACTCAAAGTGAGACATTTCAAAAATAATAAAAACAATTTTTTAAAGAGTGGAGTGAGACGTGTTTTTACCGCTGTTAGAAATGACCTACATGTCACTTTTGTGGTCTGAGTTCTCTGTGGATATTTTCTGTATGTAACTATAGTTTTAAAAAAATTACGAACCACGTTTTGTCTGTTTTTTTATGAGAAGACAGCCTCATGGGTGGACTTCCCTGGGTTCTGCTAGCCTCCCAGTGAGGACTCAGCTTCTGACCCTGCTGGCCCCCAGCCTGTGGCCTCCAGCCCCTGCTCAACACCACCTCATCTACATATCCCTGTCTGACCAGTGGTGAAACTGAGGCATAGAGCAGTTGGCTCCTCTCTGAAGGGAAATCAGGCACCCAGGACCTACTCTGCCCTGATAATGCCAGTGTTGCAGGGGGAGCCCACTCATTGTCTTTCCAGCAGCTCTGGGGAGCTGCCCTCTGCCTGTTGAGTTGAGCCAGTCTGCTTCCTGGCCTTGCTCCTCCAAACCCAGGCCCACCCAGGATCCCAACAGAGCATTGCACTCTTCAGAAGAGGAAGATCACCAGGTCTAACTTCCCACCTCCTGCAGCTCCTCAGGCTTGGCCTTGCCCCTGCCCCTATGGCCTGGGCACTGGCCCTGGGCAGCCTTTCTTGGACACAAGGACCCATCTGCCCTCCACATCACTCCATCCTTAACAGACCTTGTTGTCCCTCCACTGGCCAAGGCCTTTACCCCATTGGGTGTCTTTTGATCTCCATAGAAAATAAACACATCCACTGAAGCCAGTGTGGCTCAGTTGGCTGAGCATCATCTTGTGCACCAGGAGGTTGCTGGTTTGATTCCTGGTCAAGGGCACATGCCTGGGTTGCCCGCTTGATCTCCGAGCAAGAAGCAGCTGAATGATGTTCTCTCTCACATCAATGTTTCTCTCCCTCTTCTCTCAAAATCGATAAAACTATTCTTTTTAAAAAATAAAATAAACATGTCCGTCTCCCACTCCTTCCTTCCAGGCTACTCTGGGGCCTTTGGGATGCCCCGTGGCAGTGCCGGGTGCTCGCAGCGTGGGGCCAGCGCGCGGGTCCGGCTGCAGACGGGCGCGGACCTCGAGGGCAGCTGGGTCGGGTCCCCGCGCTCAGAACAGGGCGCCGCGGGCACAGCGGCCGCCGCTCCGACGGAGAAACAGCTCCCTCGCTCGGCAGCGCTGGGTCTGAGTCTCCAAAAGGGAAGCACCGGGGCCGCATTCGGGGCTCGTCTGACCCCGTGCACGCGCACGAGTTCGCAGCCAGTGTGGTCACGGATCAACTACGTGAGGGCAGTTCGCTCCTCAGGAAAGTCGCGCCCACGGGTAGGTTCGGCG